CTCCCCATGCCCCCACCCCCCACGCCTCAGTAATACAGCACAGAGGGGACCCCCATCCCCAAGCAGGGGTACAGAGCACAGGGATCGCCCCAAGCCCTTTGGAGGTGTTTTTGGACACTCTCGAGGTCCTAATGGTTTGGGGTTTTTGAACAAAGCAGGCTGTGACAGAACTCTGAAGTGAAAAATGCAACTTAGGAAACAAGTAGACAGATGCCTGGAGGATTATTTTATTAATGAATTCAAACTCTCAGAATTCAGTCATAGGAAGCATGAACCTCTGAGACAAGGGGGAGTACATGGAGCTAGCAAAGAGCTGGAGAGAGTTAACAAGATTCTTAAGAAATGGATAATTAACTAAATAAAATCCTGTGGTGAAGTTACTTTTAGTAACGTGATTATATCCCATTGAAGAAAAAAGAGTAAGACCATTTTTCATCATTTAGTGTATGCATCTGTCTCCATCTTGTATCCACAGGTCCCCTAATACTTATATGACTCCAGTAACGTCAGTGAGGTTTTCTATAGCCAGTAATGCTCACCAGTGTACAAAAAGTGAAAGGATTTTTAACTTTATATGATTTTCCCCTTGAGTATTGACATAAGGAAATTCACTGAAGGCTTTATTCAAAATAAGCTTGTGACATTATTTCCTAGGCTTCTGATATGCATTAGATGTACAGCTAACAGTCTTTAAGATTCAAGAGCCATAATGTATATTTGAATCAAATTCACTTAAGGTCAAAAAGAAAAAAGCTCTTAACTTTCATAAAGTGATTCCTTCAGATGGATTTCAGAGATCAAAGCATGTTACAGAAAAAGCTTAATATTTGGATTAGTGGTGTTCTTTCTTTGCTGAGCTTTTAGCCCTTTTGTAAAGTAGTGCTTTCTTAACAGAAATGAATTATTCATGGACAGTGTTTTAGCAACAACACACTAGGAATACTATTAATTCCAGATTTTATTTTTTCTTCAAAATCCATTTTAGAGCGTTAATGCTTATGTTGCTGAATGGACTTAAATTATTTTTTTGAGTGTTCAATCACTTACTAAAATAAACAGAGCTATGTGTGCAAAAGCAGGTTGTAACTTCTTTATGGCTTTTAGCATGCTAAAGGAGCGGCTCAGCCTATAAAATGCCTGAAGTTTTTTTTCATCCTGAGCTTTTACATTGCATAGTTTGCACAGGGATGTATTCAAGTAAAGCCACGTCTTGTATGCTGCTCCTGATCCTGAAATGCTTATTCAAATTCTAAAGACTGGATAAAGAGCTGATGGTTGCCCATGCATGCAAGGAGCAAACGGTTACTTCATGTCCTAAATCAGAGCTGGGATTCTGCAGAAGAAAACTGGAAACATCCATGCCCTGCTGAAGCAGACCTTCCAGAGGGTGCCCTGGCTGTAGATGCCAAACCTCATTAAGGCTACTTAAACCACACACTCAAGCCCAAGCTCAGCTCAGTCTATGGATTGTCTTCTGATCCTCAAAGGTCATAACTCTGTTATACTGCGAGCTAGAAAGCTGGCTGGTACAGTTCAGGCCATAGACATGTACGGTTTAAAAGCTGGAGATACTGTTTTGTGAACCTACAACAGCTAAGCAGCTGGGAAAGCCATCTTAAAAAATGTATCATAAAGAATCTAGGTTTTGCTTAGTCCTTCTCTATCATTTGAAAAGCTTTGCAGGGACCCAAGGGTCTTCTGAATCTCATCCCAAAGCAGGTGCATCAATGAAACAAAAGTACTTTGCATCCAAGTTATTCCGAGTGCGTGGTTTCTTTTACTGCAGCCCTAATTCTGATCTGAGTTTTGCTGCAACAACCATCAAGCATGGAGCTACACTGATATCACACGTCTGTGATGGAGGGACCTTGGCACCAGTCCTGTGGCCTTTCTGTGGTTCCAACAGTAGAAACACCGTCATTTCAGCTTCTTCACTGAGTTCCAGCTGCTTATACGTACTACTTGATGATGGTATTAACAGAGGAGATATTAATTATGTACTCATCTGCAGGTGGTGCTTCACAGATGAATACAGTGAGGGTTTCCTACCCGAAGGTTCATAGACTGCAGTACCTTTGAAATCATCATGAGTTTCTTACAGGCATTTGTGAGAAGCCTCAAATTAGACAGAGAACACCCAAGAATGACAATCAACAAGCTGTTGGAATTGGCTGTAGTATACACTGGTTTGGCTTCCCTTTACCCACTATTTGATAAAGCTAAAATGTAGGACTTAGACACACACTTCTGAGAAATAATTCACTGCAGACCGGTTGCATGCATTGTTACTGGCTCCACTCACAATAATATTCTGCTTTTCTGGCTTTTCTTGGAGAGCGTGTGAAGGGCCTGCTGAAGTACCGTAAACAGCTTCAAAGAGAAACATAATTTAAATATAATTCAGATCAAAATTTAGTGTTGCTGGATTTACGCTTTCATGTGTTTCTTAACTCAAGCAGTGTCGCTAACATTTTTATTCTGTCCATCTCTTCCACTAACGGTTTGCTGTGATATATTTCAATGGATGGTACCTTTCTCTTGTTCAGGTTTTATTTTATCGAGCAATGCATTTAAACATGAAGTGGTGCTGCTATGTATGTGGCACTGACAGCTAATATGGTTCTGGTACACAGCAGCCAAAGGCGAATATATTGATTTTTATAAATGATGATGAGTAAAGTAGATCTCTCCTTCCTGCCTGCGCTGAGCCTACGGAGATGTGTAACTGATATTTGCCTGTTGCAGCTGTAGTTCTGGGCAGCATCTGTTCAGGATGCTGGCTCGGGCTTTAGGCTGACATGGGGTTATATATTAGGGTTCCTCATATCAGTTGCTGTACTGCTATGAAAAGATGTATAGTACTGCCTTAATGGATGATGCTTGCACGGTCTGAATCAAAGTTACTGGAAAGGTGTTTGGTCAGGATAATCCCCAGCAAATTTTATTTACTTTGTTAAGGCAAATGAATACGTGAGGATGCTGAATTTTTCTATGTAAATATTTTCCAATCCCGTATGATTTCTCCCAAGTTGTCTAACAGGCATGCTAAATAGTGTAAACCCACCTAAACCCATGCTTTACCACTTACAAAACTGACTTCGTCAGATAAATGGTGGGATTTACCTGAGTTACCCAGGGTAGAACATGCTGCCATGCCTTGCTGGGTGCTCAGAGCCCAGAAGAGACCGTAGCAAGTCATGGAGGCGTGCACCCCAGCACCAGACTGGCCCGTGGGATAGAAATGAGGGAGACAGGGATATGTACGCCTGGAAAAATTTGGTAGTTACATTTTTCACTGATTCATCATCAGTTTGGGAAAACATTTTTTGTTTTGCCTTCTGAAGAAGAAACTTCTGTGACTTTTTGTTGCTTGCAACTCAAACTTGACAAGCTCCAGTCTGACAGTGCTGGGAGACATTGCTGGAAGTGGGGCCACCAAAAACCTCTCCCAAGCTATAGATGGCCCAGTGCCTGCTGGAGGGACTGGCAGTGGGAAGTAGACGAAAAGCCCCATTTATCACCAGTCCCATCTGCTTCTGACTTGACATAACCTGATCTCCAGGGCTGTATTTAAGTAACTTGATCCCCTCTCTAGTCTTGCGGCTGCCTGATAGGGCTGTGTTTTATACGCTCTGCTCACGCTCATCAAACAGATAATGATGTGTCAATAATTTTGACTGGGATGAACTCTAGCAGGAATTTTAATCATCTGGGTTTCAGCTGTGATGTGTCACTTTGTGGGGATAAAATGCAAGGAATGGCAAGTTGGTTTGGGGGGATAAAATGATCTTACTCTTCTGATTTGAAAATATCATCCTATGCTTCAGAGATGAAATTTTAGCTGCTGATGCAAAACAGAATTTTAAGTGACCAGCATTAACAAGACTAGCCTCTTTTCTTCCCATTTCAAAACTAATGACAAATTTGAGGATACAAAGAAATAGTAATTTTCAATTTTCAGCACACTCGCTGTCTTAATTTTTGTGTCATTTAACACTGCAGAGCAGAGTAATCAGAGATGTGGCCAATTTATTGGGAAATTAAAGCAAAATTCACTGGGACATTAAAGAAATAAGTAAGATTGCTTTGACTCTTCCAGAATTTGTACTAGAAGCAAATTAATTTCAGATGCAGTGACATTCTGTTCTCCATAGGCAGGAAAAAGTAAGATATTTAAAGAGTAAAAATGGGGCATTTTTCTGCTACTTGAATGGTAACTGAGCACCTAGCTAATGTTTGTGGAGTGAGAAAAGAAAAAATATCAGAGTTTTAAGTAACACACTGCAGTGGTTGTGCAAAGAAAGATTTCAGTCAAATTTCTTTCTTTGATGATTTATTCACAATATAAAAAGAAAGTGATAGACTAAATGAGTCAAGCACCAGCTGACCACTGTGAATATAGTGAGTTTGAATGGTTTGGATAACCAACTGTAGGAAAATAAAATATAAATGAATATAGAATGGTTATTAATTCCTTTAATTCCTCTTAAAAGAAAAACTGTGTTTTCTATTCAATGATCTTCCCATTTACATTTTTCTAGGAAGATGTTAAACACAGTGTACAAAAAGAAATTATTTCTTTAATTAAAGTATCTTGATGAATGCTTCAGGCTTTCAGGTCCCTCCTGATGAAATCAATCTTTTAAACTTAGGAGACCTTTTCTGTCGCTGCTGTTTTGGGACCTCATGACTGGTGGGGCTGCAGAGCTCCCCGGCCTGGGTGAGCCACCTGCCCCAGGTCATCCCCAGAACCCCACAGCCATGGGCTCCCCATGGTTTCCCTTTTCCATTGCTTACCAGCCCTCAGCATTCAGAATTAAGAAGAACCCATCAAATTTGTTCCATTGCTGGTGAGGAAGAAAGCTAATTTTGGCCTGTTGGGCAGGGGAGGGCTGCTGTGGGGTTTGTCAGCAGCGGGCTGGGGGGTTTCTCTTCCCTTGCTGTGACCCTGATGAACTGCAGGAGTTTCTTACCTTTCCTTTCCTCTCAGCTGGTAGGATTTTTTTCCACCTCCTAATGTATCTGATTCTGTGATGGCTGAATGCACAGTCATGTGGATAAGAGCTTTTATCATCACTTCTGTTACAAACTCCCCAGGTCCAGGGGATTAGAATTGGAAAAGGAAGAAGTCTTAAAATTGGTTTAAATGGGTTGAAAAATGAAATTCAATGGGTCAGAGCAAGGGAATAGCATTGTAAAGGTAAGAGAGCTTGCTATGGTATCCATCAGGAGCTTTTTCAGGTGTGCCTGCTTTTAATTTTTATTTACTACAATGTTTGGAAATCCTGCTCTGTAGAGTCACGATGACAGTTATTAGAGATGTACCTCAAACCCAGCTGCAGTACCTTTAATTAAAAAGCGCATGCATAAATAACTGGGAGAAGGATCTGGCTGTTTATCGCAGCCTCCCCACTTCGCGGGGTTGTTTGCTCCCCCCTGGACTCCCCTCTACTCATGATTGCAGCTAAACGGCTGCGATCCAAATGGGAGAGCTCCACCACAACACCTTGTGTCTTACGTTTTCAGTGAGTTAGCAATTACCACTTGCATCTGTCTTGTTGCACGTGTGTGCCCGTATTACTCAGACCTTTTATTTTTTTAACTGCCTCTCAAATCCACGCCTGTTGAAAGTCAAGATAGAAATTTTATCCCTGGCACAATCTTCTGCATCCCTTTGCATGAGGGCTTTATTTTCCCCCGCTTTTCTTTTTAATTGGAGCTGGGATTCTAATTGAAACATTTTGAGTGAAAACATTCCTGGACGTAAATGGACAGTAAAGGAGATGGAAATGGAATTGCTGTAACTTTAATGAATATATTCAGTTTTGTTATTTCAAAAGTAGTAATATAATTGCTTTTCCCATTCAGTGGCTGAAGAAGTTTTTACCAATAATAAATAGGATTTTAATGGAAATGGCAGAAGTGGTTATGGACGGTAATAGCCACTACAGTGTTTGCAGTTTTCAAATTAGATGCACATAATTGCTCATAAAAATAAAATTTCATTTGTTAAAAATCACTGGAAACATATTGAATGTGTAATGTTAGAAATGATGCTGCCATAGGAATTATTTTCTTGTCATATTTAATAATCAGGATTTAGTCAAGTATTTAAATGTGTTGCATAAACAAATAACGTATTTGGAAAGCATACAAAACTGTATTTAAAAGCTGTGTTTGAAAATATCAGTGATTGCATCACTTAGGCTTAGCAATTGCATCCGTATTATCCAAGTAGTCTTCCCAATCAATTGCTTTTTAACACATTTTAGGGGTGGAAAATGAACTAGGGATCCTGATGAATCACAAAAATCTCCCTTTCTTTCTTCCTCCGGGTCTCCTTCACCGTGTCCTGTCTTCTCCCCTCGCCTAGGCCAGATGGTGCGTGGGCGCTCGGTGGTCCTGCGGGCAGCGGGCGAGGGCAGACCCTGCCCGGAGCAGCTCACCCAGCACAGGAGCTGCCCGGTGAAGCCCTGCTACAGCTGGCTGCTGGGCCCGTGGTCTCCCTGCAGACTCCAGGTATGGCTTTCTTCAGCCCTCCCCAAGGGCTCCTCGGGCTCCCCATGGCCAGGGTCAACGATAAAATTCATCATTACATGGCAGAATTGATTGAGGCCACCGTTTGCGGGTCAGAGGTGTCTCTGTGGCCTTCGAAGGTGCTGGTAAGGTCCATAGGAAAGAAGGGGAAGTTCAGGAGTGGTAGACCTCTGCACCGCATCTTCCAGCCACCAGCAGCAATTTATATATAGGTTCGAGTACCGCAAGCTTATAGAGGTATTAAAGGAGATTTACTGAGTAAATGTGTTTGAGTGGGCATAGTCATGGTGACCTATAATTTAATTATATGAAATAACTCTAACAAGAAAATAGATCTGCTAGATTTCAGGAGACGTTAGACATTTTTATCTTTTTTCTTTCCTTTTTTTTTTTTTTTAAAAAAAAAAAAAAAAAAAAAGTACTATATGGCAGGTCTTTCCGTACAAGGGCTCCTCCGTACAATAGTGTGAGTTATTGTATGAAGTGCTGATTTCTACTTTCTCCTTAGACTCGCTATCTTTTTAATGATCTAAAAATGGCTGGATTCAGTGGCAATGTGCTGTACCTATACTCAGCACCTTGCTTGGCACTGGAGCCATCATTTTTTCACTGCCAGTGACTCGCATCAGGCTCGAATTGACTTTTTTCCTCCCTCTGTGCTTTTTCTTCTCTCCTTATCTGTTAGATCACATTTCCAATATTAAAACATATTAGTTGGTAACCCAGCTCAAGCAGAGGTGAATCTTTCACAGTGAGGCTTCTCAGACAGAGTGAAGTCCCCTCGGGCTGCTTAAAGCCGTCTTTGTTGAGGTGGTGGTGGGTGAATTGTGGTTGAGGTGGAAGAGAGCGCGCCCTGGTCCCAGGGGACAGGACCTGTGCACGGATCTGCGGCTGCTTCTCCACATTATACCATGTAGGAGATCGAAGCCAATAATGCACATAAAGACACATCCCATGTGTTTTCTGCTCTGCCCTCTACCATGCTGCAAATGCCTTGAATACCTACGTGGTTTCTAGATGAGGTAGGTGGACGTGGAGCGAATACTGTAGGTGGCAGAATAGATACCCAGAATTTTCCCAGGTTTTCACAAAAGAAAGCTGGAGCGTGACAGTCTTTGGACTGTCTTTTTACTTCTTTATATCTTTATAAAATGTCTTTGTATCTTTAGAAATAGCTTTATATTTTATGTAATTAACAACTCATTGCAACTAGGGATGTGAATGTGGTCTTTGTATGTGCTGCACTCAGTATTTATGTATGACATAAATACAACAAAATGACAGCATCAACTGATATTTTGTCTAGGTAATGTGAGCAAATTCTGTGAAATATTAAGGAAGAGACCCTCAACCATAGGACCTACCTCAGCTGATAAAAGAATTAGTGGGGAAGCTGAATTAATGCCCTGGCATACTCCAGATAAATAACGCATTGTGCAGATTAAAAATGTGTGCATCCAGAACCCAGCTAAATTTCAGCTCAGAGCAAGTAATCACAGCCTTCCCTAACCCAGATATCATCCTGCACTTTCAGTGAGATAGAGCCTGCTTCTCTCCTTAAATTACTGCCATGTAGTTTCTCTACCCTTTGCTTTGTTTTGGAGAGGAGCCATTTTATTCATGTTCAGTTCTCTTTAATGAGGTGCTTAGGAATTAAATGTAGTTCATAAATACAGGGTGATTTATTCCCGTGCTTTACTGGAAAAGAAGCTTAAGCTTACTTTCTAAAGAAAGCTTTTAGAAGTCCTGTTTTCAAGGATGCTTTGTGAAACAAAGTAAATGCATCCTACGGTAAGCAATAATGCATATTATGAAAGTGTCTTCCTGTAATAATGTAAACGGGACAATTAATTATAAGGCCAAAATATTTTTTCCTTGTATTATGAGATAACTGAGACTGCATTTCTTAATTGTAGAAGGCCTATTTTATGCTAAACTGACTTCATGTGAATAATTAGAGGTGTCTGCATGTCTAGGAATAGACCCTGCTAAGTGTTCTGTATTGCTGATTTTCACAGTATGGAAATCAGTGCATTGCTCTCCAGGTAATTACACATGTCACAGGCACACCTCCAGCGGGCGTGGGGCATTTCTGCTGCAGTCAGAGGGATGCAGAACTTGGGAAACGCTCAGTCCACCTAATCTTAAAGGGTTACATTACATTAATCATTTTCTTCCTGGAGTTGAAGTGGTTTACCCTGATTAGCTTTTAAAAAAAAAAAAAATTAGCAGGGGCTGACACTGTTCATAATTTTTCCATTAAAGGAATGTAAGTGAAGTAGCTGGACATTATCAAGCACTAGCTGCCTAACATTCATAAGAAGTCTAAGAACCCTTCCTTTCTAACATGTTTTAAAAGCACTCCCTTAATGTGATCATGCAACACTTCCTCATTAGAGAAAACTTTTACCTGATTAAATGCTTATCAACCTGTGAAAGCATGGCCCAGTCAACTCTTCGCCTAAATAATTGTGAATATACGTAACACTAGTAAAAGCTGAAAAGGGAAAACTTTTCTTAAAGACATGTCTGGGCAAAGCATCTCATTAGGACTGTTACCTCTCATCTTATTAGTGTGGTATATGTGGCAAGAGGGTGGTGTCAGAGGAGGTTTGTGCAGATGCTCCTTATGTTAGCGTGTTGGTCAGTTCAAGTGTCTGTCAAAACACAGCCCTGGTGTAAACCTTCTCTTTATTTTATGGGTGGTCAGTTGGAGTGAGGGGGGTCAGGGGCTGAGGCTCCATGCGGGGTGGAGGGCCCTGTACCTCCTTCGGGCTGTATTTAGGGTGAGTTCTGCATCCTCCACAGGGTCAGCGGAGAAATTTTTGCAGCCAAATGAGGGGAATCCCATCTGAAAGTCAAATTCCCACATATCGTCTGTGAGGAGCTTTTGACTCAAGAGGCAAATCCTGGTTCTAGGCAAACCTCAGATGATCACATCTTCCAAGGAAGAGCATTTACAATACAAATCTGATCCCCTGAGTTTTGAATATGTGAGCCTTTCTTTGACAGTTCTCCTCTGATTAGCACCTAGTCCCTGCATACTCAGTGTGCAGCAAACTTCCACCAATTCCACACCCATTAATTAGATCTTTACATGAATAATTTTGGGGACATGAATATTTTCCAGGAAGATAATTAATGCAGTGCTCCTGCATTGCTTATGACCTTACCAAATATACCAAAACCCACCTCTTACTGTAAGTGACAGGATGACTTTTTATCTTCTAAATTTATTCAGTTGATTGTAAAAACTCATTGCTGGTCTTGAAAGAAAGTAAGTAAATGAAAGCCACTGTTAAAAACCAAACTTTTATCTTTGGTATTGTTTGAGAGTTCACTGTTCCTATTTATTTTTTATTCTAAACTTGGGAAAATATGAATGTATTTCCAGTATTGCATGTTAGAAGAACAAAGAGTCCTGCATGTGGACTTTTACAATGGAGACTGCTGGACCAAAAAAATGTATTGTTTTCACCTAGTTATATGACTATCTCGATATTCCTATAACTATATATGTATTGCTATGTATGTAAATACTTAAATGTTGTTTATAGGAGAGTAAGTATCTTTTTAAAAATTTTTTTGTCCTCTCCAGTCATTTAGTCATTCCTTGAGCTACCTTGAGCTGGAATTACACTGCAGTTTGATTAGTGCCCATTTCCCTGGAGAATTTTCTCCACATTGTCTTCTGTTTCCCAGCCATTTCTAAGAGCTCTAACCCAATTGACAGCTGCGTGAGTTATTCACACACCATTAATCTCAGACCGCAATAGAGGTTTCAGCAGTGAAACAGTAATTTAGAACAGTGAGTTACATACTGACTAAAGTGAAACATGTTGTTAAAAACTTGAAATCTGGCTGCATATAGTAAATCTACACTAGTATTCTCTAAGATGCTTTTGATTAGCATCTGCTCTAAATCCGGCTAGTTATGCTCTTATTTCTATTTCATTGTGGGTCTGCAACAGAAGGGATGGAGAAAATGAAAAAGCTACCAGGTGTGTGCAGGAGAGCCATTCTTGAGATCCCTGCTAGCAAACCCGCTGCTGAATGAATGCGCTCGGTAGGAGCCATTCTGTTCTGCAGATGAAGTCCATTATTTTAAAAGAATCCACTGCCAAGTGATCCAAAGGAGCACTTCCCTTGCTTATATAAAAGCAATATTTCATCCTTCTTGAGTTTTATTTACTGAATTTTGTAAAGTGCCATTTTCGCAGGGCTTCAGGCGCGCATCTGTAAAGCATCATGTAGGTTTAAGGTGTGCACCTCAAACATCATTGCAAGCACTTTTCTTCACATGAGAATGAAACAACTTCAGCCTCTAGAAATACCCTTGGTGCTTCAGCTCTTACAGTATCCTCAGCCCTTGATTATCGCCTTAGCCAAATAATATTGATTTTCTGGTAAAGGAAGCCTTCTTCAGCAAGTAGTTTGGTGTGTGACTAAGTATTTCAGAACTGGGATGATGAGTGTGGAGTGGCTCAGATGGAGCCTCCTATTGCTTGTTCCAGTGGGGTTCAGTGCCAACAGGTGATGGCTGATGTTGGGTGATGTTTTGGTAGAGTATATGACCTGAGTTGGTGATCTCTGTGTACTCCAGAACCCCTTTAATAAATTACGCAAACAGCCTAGTGAGCAATAATTCTTGCAGTCTAATTAAGCGTGCTGGAGGATTTTTGCCGTTGCAGTGTTTAAACCATGTAAGTGCTACTATTGGGCTGAATTGCCAAAGGAAGTGAGTGAAAAGATCTGTTTCTTATGGGCAGGCTCTGCTTTTCAGCTCTTCAGGGAAGCCAAAAATTTCTGTGTTCATGTAATTGGGCACTAATTAAGGATCAGTAAATTCACTAGCTCTAGTAAAAGGCATGAAGGGCTGACTCCAAAGATGGTATTTATCTCTTATGGTACCCACCTCATCTCTAGCTTTGGTTACAACACACTTTTCTGTGTGGCTCAGCCCCTGCTTCTGTAGAGATGTGTATGGAGAACATCTCCATCTGTCTTCTCATAAGTGGGGATACTATTGCAGTCAAAAGACCAAATTTGTATCTTTGAAGTCTTCTTCTTAGGTGGGATCAGCTGTATTTCTTCTGTCATCTGTCGTCAGTGATGTGTCTGTCTCTTCCCTTCTGTCATGTTGTAGGGTGGACAGTGTGGAGATGGATTGCAAGTCCGCAACCTCACGTGTGTAGTGCATGATGCATCTGATTCTGCTACATCTAAACCAGTAGAAAATGCATTATGTGGTGAGCTGCCATCGAAAGAGAGTGTGCTGCAGTTACCATGCTCTGTGCCTTGCCCAGGTAAAGTCTTTGGAAAGTCACAGTGCATTTCTGCCTGTGATAGCTGTCCAAGATAGAGATGCTTCCATAGCTCTGACTACTGTCAGCTGTCATAGTAAGAATTTGTACTTCAGCAGATCAGGTAAATGCTGAGTCTGCTGTTTCTAGATCACCTGAAAAAGACTGGTTTTGGGTTTTGAGTAAATAAGATTCCCCGTGAAGCAGAAAATCTGAATATTGCATACCACTGGGAGATAAATGGGGGGTATTTCACTATTAAAACTGTTGTTTATCCTTTAAGGCTGATTCCTTTTGAAAACCTGCAATTTATTCTTTCAACGTGCAGGTGATTGCCACCTGACAGAGTGGTCAGAGTGGAGCTCCTGCGAGCTCACCTGCATCAATGGCAGGAGCTTTGAGACAATGGGGCGCCAGTCTCGATCCAGGGCATTTATTGTCCAGTCTCCTGAGAACCAAGAGAGCTGCTCCGGACAAGCGATGGAGACACGGCCTTGCTCAGGTAATGTGGCCACAGCACTGCTTCCTCCCGTTCAAGAGTTTAGTCTGGTTTTGGTGCAAGTTGAAGACTAATTTATATTGATATTGCAGGAGGGAAGTGTTATGACTACCTGTGGAAAACCAGCCTTTGGCGAGACAATGTACGCACAGTGTGGTGCCAACGCTCAGATGGAATAAATGTCACAGGTATATCCACAAATGGCCGTGCATCATTGTGAATGAAAAGTCTCCCTCCAGGTCTTTCTTCTTCTGCATCAGTTGCTCAAAGGGAAGTTGGACATCCTTCTGAACTCCTTTCAAAATTTCAGTTCAGATTTATGTGTAGACAAGACAGATGGGAGCTCACCAGCCTTGCTGTCAGGTCAACATCACACATGTCATTACATGAGAATATTTGGGTGAGTTGCCCATACTGTTGGGTTGGTCATGGGAAGAAATGAGTGTACATATATTGAAAGAGCTCCCTGGGCTGCCTTGCACAGCCATTAGTGCAACTTTCCTGTAACTGTAGAGAACAGAAGAGAACATCACACATGTGGTAGAGAGCCCAGTTTCTGTACATCTTCTATTCAACACACAGGAATCTCAGATCACTCAAACTGTGAGATTCCTGCTGCTGCCATGACCTACAAATTCTGCCTGCGCAGGATGAAAAGGGAAATTCACGGTCAGCACTTTGAAGCTCCACGAGAGACTGGCAAAGGCAGGAGGGCTTGCACATCCGTAGGATCTCTCTCAGTAAGCACAGGGTGAATGAGAAGAGAGTAGAAATGAAAATGCAGGTGTTCTTATCTGGTGCTATTTATAATGACTAGTTAAGATAACAACAAAAGTTTTATGTGCAAAGGTTGCCAAGTAGTTAAGAACTCATTAACATGTTTTCATTCCTACAGAAGCACAGCCTTCCCTAAGTGAGGATGGGCAAAGGCGTTATGTGGATTATGTCTTCTTATGTAGATAAGATATTAATGAGAACACAGAAGATCTGCATCTAATTCCCAATTCTGTCCCCAACTTCCTATGTGGCCTGTGGCAAATTGCTTAAATCTGTATATCTCTGTTCCCTATTAACAAGATGGGTATGATAATAATTCCCTGCCTTGTTAAGGCAAATTAATTACTGCAATGCCTACAGATATTATGCTAATGTGCTCAATAGAATAGTATTTAACTATATGAAATAAGCAAGTACTTCTTACACTATGGTGATCCAAGTCAAAAACATTTTAAAACATGCCCTTGAACTCACTCAGTATTTTCTTTTACAGGAGGGTGTGCTCTTCGGACGAAACCTGCAGACGTTCGGCACTGCAGCCCACCGTGCAGAAAGCCCTTCTCCTACTGCACGCAGGTAACTGCTCGCTGCAGAATAGGGTTGAGAAATGAACACCACAAAATCTATTCAATTAACTTCTGTATCTTAAAGGCATTCCAGGATCTAGAAAATAGTTTAGTGTGTCCATGGTACCACCTCGAGGAAGTTGTGGGAATTTCAGTCTGAGAGGAAACCATAAACCTGCACAAACGAACGATGGAGAATTTACGTGGTGTTACAAGATCATCTTGGTTTAACTTTCATTGAATGTTATTGTACTGTCCTGTAGAAAACGGACTGTTTAAAACTTTTGTAAAAGAGAACATAGAAGAGTACACTCCATCCTGCTCCTCCATGGACACAGAAAGCCCTTGTGAGTGTAGGGAAGGTGTAGCGTGTCATCCCACCATCCCCATACTGCCTTCTAAAGCACAACCTGGAAGTGACCTTTTTTTTCTGAAATGTTGAGTAACACCTACTGAATATTTAAGCCACTGCCACTTCTTTGCCTCTGAGCAAACATGAGCCCAGAGGTTACAGATGTGCTTTCCTAAAATATCAAACTCCAGAGTAAGAGCTTCCCAAAATGCCTTGTCTGTGTCAATACTGCTATGGAGTTTGAAACCCAGAACCCTTAAAGTAGCCAGGGGCAGTTGGGGTTTATGTATTTATATCTTGAAAATAGTTTCCACGGCCCTCAGCTTCAGATGAGTATCTAGTGGGAGGAATTACCATTGGAAACTAGCTCATGGGCCATTGAATGTGGCTGAGAGGGTGGTCATGAGAGCGTTCAGAGCCTATATGAACATAGAAATCATGCGTGAGCATGAATTTACTAGCTATAAAAGCTCTTAAGACTTCACCTTTTGCCCTAAAAAGCTCAAAATTATGTCTGTCAACAAGTGGGGGATGTTGTGGCAACAAAGGTGATGTCAAGAATTAAATTCTTACCACAGATTATAAATCAGTTGCCTGTTTGGATTGTAACTGGGAGTATCAGACCCTCAGACAGGCATTGTAATTATAAGATAATTAGGAAAGACAATCTAAAAAAGCTGTTTTAAAGTAGAAGTACAGAAAATGGAGCATCTATTTAACAAAGCACAGACTTCTAAGAAACCTCTTCAAGAAGCTACTTAGACTGATCCAGGGCAGTGGATATTTGACCGTGAGAAAGCAAGCTTCATTTCAGATAGTCCTGTGAAGTACTGGAGGGGAAAGACATGAGGAGGGTTTAGGTCTGAAGTGGGATTGTTTCTTGTTCATCTCTTCTAGTGCCTAGCAGGGTCACTGGGAAAATTGTTTCTGACAAGAGGAGTTTGGATGCCTGTTATTAAGCCTGTTAGGATGAAAATGTTTGTTATGTTGGGCTTCTCTGTAATTACTGATTCTTTTTCAACCCCAAATGTATTTTGGCTTTTTGAACTTAAATAGGTTTATGGGCACCAGTTCCTAGCATGTTTGGTTTGGTGGTGCATGTGCAGGATATACCTTGAAGTTTCTTCATAAATTGCCTACGATTTTCACTGCTATGGGAGAGGATGCTATCTGGTTTAATACTGAATTCCCTTTTATCGCCTAGAGAGGAGTCTGCGGTTGTGAGCGAGGATATACAGAAATAATGAGATCAAATGGTTTCCTGGATTACTGCATGAAGGTACCAGGTTTAGAAGATAAGAAAGCTGATGTTAAGACCATTGCTGGAAAAAATAAACCTGTCAACTCAAAAATGCATGACATTTTCAAAGGATGGTCTATTCAACCTTTTAATCCAGGTGAAAAACTTAAATATGAATGGAATAAATTGTCTTTACAACGTTTCTGTAGAAGAAAGGTACAAGCTTTGTAGATCATAACATCAGAGATTGTGTCTGGGAGCTGCAGAGCAGCCTCCCAGTTTCTAACTCTCATGCCATCTTTCATTCCTTTGTGCCTCTACAGAGTAATCACAATCTCTTATGTTGAGAGATAGCAAAGACAGAATGAAGCAATAATATTTTGCAAAAGTATACTCATATGTGATTTGGGGGCATGCTTAGAACTATTATCTGATGATGTTTCTAGGAGTAATATGTTTAGACCAAGAAAGATATTGATCACAAGCGCTTCAGAAGATTCAGAGCAGAAAGTACTTAAGATTTCATTAAAGAAAACATTGGTTGTTTCTTGCCATATTTCAAAAGTATACGAAAAAAAAAAAAAAAACAAACCAAACAACAGGGTAGAAAGCATAGAGTTTAGAGTTTTAAGTGTTGAAGTAAAGACATTAAAAAATGCCCCACAAAAAGCAGCCAAGCTGCTGTGCCCAAGCAGTGCATCCCAAGCAGATCTTTGACTTCCACACCATAAAATGCTTCCCAGTTAGAACCTCATAGTGGATGTGTCCAGACTGATTCACAGGACTGGTTCTGTAGGTGTAATAGCTGATTACCATTTTGACTGCTATTTTGTTAGATTAATTTATTCAAAATAAATTTTTAAAATGCAAATGGGGCGTTAAAATAGAAGACAGAGGTGTCAGCTGCATCAGGTTTTACTGAAACACATTGATTCTCCCCATATTCTAAAATACTGGCAGTGCAGTCTTCCCCCTCTTCCTGACATTGCATTTGTTTCCTCTGAGTTTGTAATGAACATGAGACTTTAGAAAACATGTAATGAAAGGTTCTGTTACGGGATTCAGGGAGCCATAATTCTGTCTGATATGTGTGATCACACTTTGAATGTTACATTTACATATTTGATTTGCATACAGTAGTTAACCTTTGCGTTGACAGTCTCCGAGCTCATAGAGCAGCTCGGTCCAAAGCCTTTTAAAGTCAGCTGGTTTTCGATCAAACCCATCATCCAGAAGCCCACGCAGATCACCAGCAGTTTCAGTCACAGGTTTGGGGTTAATTGCCTTTTTGTCAGCATCCGTGGGCCTCTGTAGGCTGTCTTACTTAGGTGTCATCTCTTTGGATGGTACCTTTACGGAGTTAGAAAAAGGGAGAGAGGTGTAGGTGGATGCTGCAGTCCTCTCTTTTTAAATCAGCATTCAAGGCTGCAGCCCTGAAATCTTCTGGTGGGTTTGACCACAGCGCAACATCTGTGAACCAGCTCTCCCCCGGGGACTACAAGACAGACATAGGGACTTAAGAAGGTTACAGAACATAGTGTTATTTAATTTTAGAGCAGAAATGTTAGAGAAACAATATATGGGAAAGGAATAAATGTGCTCCATGTGTGCCAAGTGTATCACCAACCCCATGGCATCCTACAGGTCTGTATGTGCCCTTTAGACCCCAGCTCAAGTCTGGTGCTCTTCAAATCACTCCTCTTTGTGTAACTTCTTCACAAAATATGTAATTACTCCCCTTAAACAGGCTCTCAGGCTTACTAGTCTGGGGGTTTGTAATAATTACTGCTAGCTGAGCCAGGAAACTGCTGTTATCTACCAGTTGTGCTCTTGATAACAGGTCGATGGTGAATGCTCCCTGTATGGCTGGCATTTACTGCCCTTCAGTACCATAGTCCTTGACATTTGTGTATGTCTAAGGACTTATATCTGTCAGTAAAACTATACGTGCCTTTCTGCAGTTGATTTGTGGTTTTCCTTCCCATTTACAGTTTGGAACACAAATTTTATTACGATTTAATGAGGCTGATGTTTTTGTTCTTTTAAATGCTCTGCAGGAGTGCACAGAACTGATTTTGAATCAGGCTGTGTTTTTCCTTTCTCTACCACACTCTGGGAGGCCAGAGTTCAGGTACAGAAACTTTTTTCAAGTTGAGAGGCAATTTAAATAGCATTGTTTAAATTGTAGGATGACATGGTCCAATGCCTTTATGTTGGGGATGGAGAGCATAGCTTCCTTCATAGCAGACATGGTGGGATGCCTTTTTGTGGCTATGACAGTCCCTTTGCAGAACTGCTAAATGTTTTTTGGCCATTTCCAGATGAGAGTGTGACAAATTTCATACCCAGACTTCAGAAAACAAACAAACAAACAACCAGTCCTGACAAACTCACATGGGAGAACTCAATTCTCTCTCTTCTCACATGGGAGATATGCTGTGAGTGTTTCAAGGAGAAGAGATAATATGTGAGACGTACTCGGCCTTTCCACAAAGCCTGGAAGAAAAAAGAGAAAGAATGGGATCTGATTAAATATGTTTCCATTTGAAAAATTTCATCATTCAAACATAAAATGTAAAACAGGCTCAGTGATTGTCTGTGAAGTAACTCCTCACTCGCATGACTGAGTTTGAAATGGCCGCTGTCAAACCATGTCTGTGGGCATGGTGCAGGTTCCTATTCCTGCCTCCCCTATGTATTAACAGCTCTGTTGATTTGAATCAGTTCAGACTACTACTGCATGAAAAAACGACCGTTGCTTCTGCCCAAAAGGAAAGCTGTACAGCCAGAACGCAGCAAGAAGCAGAAATATTGATCTTTTAAAAACTATTATTATTAATGCATAGCTTGTAATTAAGGACCTGTCCAAATAACGTGTTTTGAGACTATCAGAATGAAAAGTTTCAACACACTGAAGCTCACATGTGCGTGGAGAGGTTCCTGCAAGGGTCACAGAGTAGGTCCCCTGTCATTGCAACCCAAACAGTCCTACCAAGAGCCTTACCTTGTCTTAAAGCCAGTTATGTCCCCTACTCCCGTGGCCCAACTAGAAAGCTCTTGCACAACTTTTTCCCTCTTTCTATTACAAAGCGTATGCTTGTTTTTATTCTAAGCCAAATTTATTTCCATTTGTTGCCCAAGTGTTTTTCAGCTCTAAGTAGCTTGTTCGCTTGTTCTTGCTAGTGATTACCCCAGTTGACCCCCATGTATTTATAGAGAACAATCCCATCCCTTCTTAGTCCTCTTTAGGCTAAATATGTCAGGTGTTACCTGCATTTGTATCTGGGTCAGCTAAACATTGAACTGCCTTTGCCAGAGCAGCCACTGGGGCTCCTGAGCAAATGTACTTACCATAGAATCATAGAACGGTTTGGAAGGGACATTAAAGATGACCCAGTCCCAACCCCCTGCCATGGGCAGGGCCACCTTCCACTAGCCCAGGTTGCCCAAAGCCCCGTCCAACCTGGCCTTGAACACTGCCAGGGAGGGGGCAGCCGCAGCTTCTCTGGGGAACTGTACCAGGGCCTCACCACCCTCACAATGAAGAATTTCTTCCTAATATCTCATCTAAATCTCCATCTTTCAGTTTAAAACCATCACCCCTTGTCCTATCCCAACACCCCCTGATCAAGAGTCCCTCCCCAGATTTCCTGTAGCTCCCTTGAAGTCCTGGGAGGCCACTCTAAGGTCTCCCCGGAGCCTTCTCTTCTCCAGGCTGAACACCCCCATTCTCTCAGCCTGTCCTCACAGGGGGTGCTCCAGCCCCCTGAGCATCTTTGTGGCCTCCTCTGGACACGCCTAAGCAGGTCCATGTTCTTCTGTTGGGGGGTCCCATAGCTGGACACAGCACGGCAGGGAGGGTCTTATGACAGCAGAGTAGAGGAGGAGAATCCTCTCCCTCAACCTGCTGCCCACACTGCTCTTGCTGTAGCCGAGGGTATGGTTGGCTTTCTGGGCTACAAGTGCACATTGCCGGGTCATGCCGAGCTTCTTGTCAACCAACAACCTCAAGTCCTTCTCCTTGGGGCTGCTCTCAATCCCCTCATGGCCCAGCCTGGATTTGTGCTGGGGATTGCCCCGACCCATGGGCAGGACCTTGCCCTTGGCCTTGTTGAACTCCATGAGGTTTGCACGGTCCCACCTCTCCAGCCTGTCCAGGTCCCTCTGGATGCTCATCCTTTCCCTCCAGCGTGTCGACAGCACCACACAGCTTGTCCATGTCACCAGCAAAGATGTTAAACAATGCCAGTCCCAACACCAACCCCTGAGGAACACCATTTGTCATTGCTCTTGATGTGGACACTGAGCCGTTGACCACAACTCTTCAAGTGTGACCATCCAGCCATTTTCTTATCTCCCAATTGGTCCATCCCTCAAATTCATGTCTCTCCAATTTAGAGACAAGGATGTTGTGTGGGATAGTGTCAGATGCTTTGCACACTCTAGATAGATGACATCAGTTGCTCTTCTCTTATCGAACCAATGTTGTAACCTGGTTGTAGAAGGCCACCAAATGTGTTAGGCAGGATTTTCCCTAAGTGAAGCCATGCTGGCTGTCACCAATCAGCTCCTTATTTCCATGTGCTCCAGCATAGTTTCCGGGAGGACCCACTCCATCTTGCCAGGCACAGAGGTGACCAGTCAGGGTCTGCAGATTCCTTGGGTCTTCCGTTTTTTCCTTTTTAAAATGGAGGTTATGTTTCCCCTTTTCCAGTCAGCAGGAATTTCACTTGTCTGCCACAACTTCTCAAACATGATGGATGGTGGCTGAGGCACATTATCTGCCAGTTCCCTCAGGACTCGTGGATGCAATGCCTCAGATCCCCTGGATTTGTGCACCTTCAGATGTCCTTGACCCTGATCTTCCCCTACAGTGGGTGGTTCTTCATTCTCCCGGTCCCTGCCTTTGCCTTTGTGCCTTGGGTGGTGTGGCTGGAGCACTTGGCAAAAAAGTAATTGAGTACCTCAGCCTTCTCCATATCCCGGGTATCCAGGTCTCCCAGTTCCTTCTGGAGAGGGCCCACATTTTCCCTAGTCTTCCTTTTATCACTGATATACCTACAGAAGTTTTTCTTGTTGCCCTTGACATTTAGATTTAATTCTGTCAGGTCTTTGACTTTCCCAACCTGTTCCCTGGCTGCTCGGCCAGTTTGTATTCCTCCCAGGCTGTCTGTCCTTGCTTTCACCCTCTGTAGGCTTCCTTTTTGTGCTTGAGCTTGTGCAGAAGCATCATGTTCATCCATGCAGGCCTGGCATTTTTGCCTGAGTTCCTTTTTGCTGGCATGCATTGCTCCTGAGGCTGGAAGAGGTGATTCTTGAATATCAACCAGCTTTCCTGAGCCCCTCTTCCCTCCAGGGCTTTATCCCATGGTGCTCTGCCAAGCAGATCCCTGAAGAGGCTGCCTACGTCACCTGTTCTTAGTTGTGCTGGTTGTTACTCGGGCAGCAGCCCAGGCTGCCTTACGCAGCTCTAGTGTCTCTCGTGATGTGACAGGTCTTTCCTCTTCAAGTCTGCAGAGCAGTGAATCGGTTCTGCAAGGGCACCTCAGGCTTCTCTCCCCTCCTGCAGGTCCTTGCCATTGCAAGCTTCCAGTCTTCCACATTACCGGCCCCCTTCCCTTCCATGTGTGCCAGTGGGGGAGTTTTTGGCTGTGTGGCCGTGGGTCCACTGCCGACTGCACTTGGAACCAGCCATCTAACTCCTTCTCAGCCTCCCTGATGCTACGGAGCTTTCCCACCACCTCCTGCAGTTCAGCACCTGCTGCAGGAGGTCCTTCACCTGGGAGCTCCTTTTGCAGGCAGGGTTGCTGCCTGTCCCTGCCACACTCATGCCCCTGCTCCTTTCCGTGGGCAGGAGCCTGGCCGGGCTATATTTCTTGTGCTGCATCACAGGTCCCTAACAAACTGCAGGAGCTCAGCCAGAGGGGAGGTTATGAAATAATGCTGCTTTGGAAGACGGAGACGAAGAGTTCATTTTCAGTTTTCATTGAGGAAAATCTACACTCCTTACCAAAGATAAGATTTTGTCTTTAAAATGATGGATTTTTACAGGAATCTTTTTTTTCTATCAAACAAGTGGGGTTTATGGGTTATTGCCAGCCAGTCCTTGCTGTATTCCCATTAATGATGCTACTAATTCTGCTTGTGTGCTTTCTCTTTACTTAATATCTTACAAATTTGTGTATTTTAGAATAAAGTTTTTTATTCTTCCCTTTTTTCCCTCTGCCCTTTTTCCTCATTTTCCAACAGATGGTAAACTGAAGATGTGGGTATATGGAGTATCAGCTGGCGGGTTCCTCATCATAGTTTTCCTGATTTTTACATCCTACCTGATGTGGTGAGTATGGCATGTATCTTGTCATTAAATAAAAGCTAGTTTGCTTTTATTTCAACAATCCAAAATATATCACAGTGCTGTGATGCAGAGTTCTAATCCTTAAGGCTTTAGGAAAGGATGGAGCTTGGATTACTTAACTGCCTTCATTTGGCCTCTGCCTCAGAGTAATTTCTAAGTCTCCAAATTATAAACATTAACGGACGTAATTGTGAAGAAGTCTAGTGACCATGCAGAGAAAGAATTCTCTTTGGTTATCAGTAGGCCCTTATATTTATTCAGACTTCTGCTGGGATTAGAAAGGGCTTTTTATTGTATTCTTTAAAAAAAAAATAAAGTAAAACTGAAAAAAGGCAAGGAGGCTGATTGGATTGAGGAGCTGGCTTCCGCTCAAGGAAGGACTAAATAGAATAGGAGCATTCAGCTGGAAAATTATGTTTGACGTGGGAATACAATAGCGATCTACGAAATCATGAATGGAGTAGAAAAGGGCACTAGGGAATTCTTATTTCCCACCATATAAGAAGTAGGAGGCATCTGATGAAACGATCATTTAAAATAAACAAAAGTTTTTATTTTTCACACAGCGCATTATTACCTTGTGAGCTTACTGCTGCCAGGGACTGTGCATGCCAGGAAGATAAATGGATTCAAAGATGGCATAACGGTTCACAGGAGATTGGGTCTCTTGGTGTTAATTGTGGTTTTCTGGATGTATGCTCCAGCTCAGGAAATCCCTAAATAGGTTTTTGCACTGAATACGTCAGGTGGAAAGGTGTTCTGTGTCTAATGCTGCTGTTACCAGCCATTGTTAGGGATAGGGCACCAGGCGTGGCAAATCCCGTGTCCACACCAGTGCATCACTGGCGCTGGGCTTTACTGGTGAGGGAGGTGTCTGCCCTTCTCCAGAGCAGCAGTCACCCCAGGCAGGGGTGGTAGGCCTGGCTTGACAGAGCTGGTGTTGCACTCTCTGGTTGGAATATTTGGAAAGGTGCTGCCATTGATGCATCTTGGAGGATACGAAGGGGGCAGTGGCCAGTGTCTGCGTGTCCTGCAATGCCCACAGCTGTCCCCGAGGACCATGGAGCTGGCCTGGTCTTTACAAACATTGCAACCAAGAGTCGCAGCCATGACCTGATGGCATTGTTGCCCTCTCATCCAAAATCAATTTATTCACTCTCACTCTTTTAGGCTTTCTCTCAGTCTTCGTCTTCAGTTAAAAGCTTAAATAACAGCCTTTGGATGCTGCTTAGAAACTTCCTTGTTTTCTAAGCCATGTAGCTACCATTTCTCTATGGCTTCACAGTGGAGCATACAGAGGATTTTTTAAATAACATTACATAGTTCTCCATCACTCAAAGGCTGGTCAGGAAGTGTATTTCTCAATAATAATTATTGTTGCTTCAGTACGGTGCCAAAGAAAAAATGAGAATATCCCACTCCTAGACAGTTCATGTTTCAATTTTTCTGCGAGGTGTTCCTTGTTTTGTCAGCTGTGAGAAGACACGGGAGACAAATATGTTTTATTTCCTCTCCAGATGAAGAGCACAGTTGGCTGCCCATTTTCGGCAGGCTGTATGTCCGTACCACACACATGATAGCACTCAAGCAGTTTCATGTGGTTTTTCTTGGAAGTAGTGACTGTACTGCTGTGTCACCTGGTTGCAAAATTAAATAGCCATTGTGGGGAGTTGATTTTTTTTGTTGAAGGTTGGTTTTTGATGGCGTTTCTGAGCTTATTACAGTTTATAATTTTATCTCCTGAAATATTTTTCTTGCAGCAAAAAAACAAAGCAGCATCAAAGCACTCCTCCTCAGCAGAAGCCTCTAACCTTAGCCTATGATGGAGACATTGATATGTAACATAAAAAAGAAATCCAAATGTAGACATCGACTGCCTTAACTGCTTTCTTTTTTGGAACTCTCCGACTTCTCAGTTTTTTGAGGAATCTTCTGATGTGTAATATACCAGGCAGAACAGAAGTATTGCAAGCTTAAAATTTTGCCACTTTATTAAAAAAAAATGGAGTCAAAGACTTGGATCTTGTGAAACTTTTCTGAAGAGGCCAGAAAATACATCTCTTCCTGTTGAGCAATGGGAATTAAAAAAATAAGAGAATCTGCAGACATCAAAAGGAATTAGTAAAAAAAAAAAAAAGGCATGACAATCCTGAGGAAAATGTGACATTTATTGTAAATGACAAGTTTGACACAGCATCATTATGCACTATATTAGTGCAGCGTTCTTTATTCTTCACATATTTCAACAATGAGTTTTCTAGTGTTTACATTTCGTTCAAAGACTTTAAAATGGATCATGTATTTTGAGAAATGCAAGGAAGAATGAGTTGAAGTGTCTGAAGTTACCAGGTTTTTTACAGTTTCTTCCTTCTTATCCTGTTTTCTAGTCTGGAATATGATTTTACTTCATTTCCACCTACAGGACAGAATAAGGATTGTTACGAAAAAGCATAGGTGGTTTCTTAACCAATAATATTTTTTAAAGAGTTGAGTAGATAGGTGTTTTGATGAATGGCTAGAGGATTTGATTGTTTAAAAAGTATTTTAAATTAAATTAAACCATGTAGATACATTATGGCCAGTTTAAATTGTTATTCAGTTTAATTAATACAAACTCTGCTTTTGTATTTAAATTTTCTTATCTGAAATATTTATAAATTCTTTTTTTGAATTTAATTACCTGACCTCATTTAATATGCATCAAACACAAATGCAGTTTGTAGAAGGTCTTGCTTTTTTAAATGTTTCGAAGCCACTGAGAAGTTACATGTTGTAAACATCTGGGAACATTTGAAGAGGGTAAGTGTTTATAATAGTGTGTGTTGCAAGTAAGAAAGTGCCATCTTGTGGTATTGACTTGTATTTATAAGCAAATAAAATGCTAAAGAGAGTGAGAAAATTGCTTCTGGTATGTTGAATTAAATGTGTGTAAACAATATTCGTTATTAGTCTTTTACTGTGTCTGAGATTGGACTCGGATTTCAAACAATTCTGGCATATTTTGTGCTGTAGTGATTAGTGAAGGAAATACTGTAGACAAGTACAAGTTGAGAGAATAATTGCAGATCTGGAGAATGCTTGGTCTTATTTTTAGCTCAATGCTGCTGCTTATTCCAATAATTAGACAGAAAAGAAAAAAGATTTGTTACCAGCCTAGCATCTATGCAGTCCCTCTCAATCCGCAGTTACTTCAGAGCAGATCATCACAAGAGAAGGGTATAACTAGGGCAGAAGCCAACGCTCATCTTGTTCTGTTGCTATTCACGGCTTTGTAAAGCAATTTGGATATTACATTTTCCTTGAAAAAATGGTGGTGTTGTAGTTGGATTTCCTTCCCCACGTCAGGATCCCACCCGTCCAGCATTTCTCCCACAGTATTGAATTGAGATGATATTGTGTCATCAATGCAAGGTGAGGAACGTGCTTTCCTCTTCCCACATTAAAAAAAGAAAGGCTGATGGAATTGTGAGGTGAAATTGCCTCAGTTATTTTGGGCCCTGAAGACATTCTTTCTCCTTAAAGGTATGTAAAAAGCAGGATCTGGTGTTCCCCAGTAATACCAGGGGCCTAAATCTTTCTTTAATGATGTCCTGTACTGAGCCTTTGAGTAACATGTATAGAGTAAGAGTTACAAGGGAAATAATGATCTAGTGCTATTAGGAAGAATACTGCCAGATCTTAATATATTTTGTCTGTGGTATATCACGTGAGGAGAATGGTGCTCTCTGAATAACGAAGGATTAAACTCAATTAAGCAAGTTGTTCAGAAAGGCATTGGAGTGGGAAAGTTGGTGTAATAATAACTGATTAACTGAGTGCTGATACTGAGCAGCTGGACCTGGGTTTGTGCTTCAGTTTGGTGGCCTGTGTCCCCCCACTGGTGCTATAGCATCTTCTGGCCAAAGCCCCCCAGGTTCTCCCCAGGGACTGGCCGTGGTTCATGCTGGGGCTGGGCACTGCCGGCAGAGCTGCAGCCTGTGCAGGGTGCTGGTGAACAGGGCCAGTGGACAACTTCTGCAGAGCTGCTGCAGTGCAGAAAAGCCCTTTAGGGAATTAATGCATCTGCTCGACTTTGTAAAATAGGATAAAACAGAGGGCAAGGATCATGAGGCCACTGTTAGAGACTGCTGCTGCCAGCCGTGCGCCGTGTCTGCCGGCATGCACGTGAACCCACATCTGCTCGTGGTCCAGCTTGGACAGCGCGGCGATGCAAAGGCCACCATGTGGTTGCATGTATTCGGTAATTTTGTATTGAATTAAACTGTGAAACTGAACCGAGGAGGTGGTGGCCCTACAGGGCCCAGGAGGCTGAGGATGCAGCGTAACGCAAAAAAAGGAGCTGGTTGTTTAGACAGATACCAAGATTATTGCTGTTTACAAGAGCCCTGGGTATCTTGTTTGGAGGGATGCCCAGCCTCCCATGGGAGCACTGAAAGTCAATTCCTACCTTTCAGACTTCAAAACAAGTCATGATGTGGAAGAGGGATTACTCCCAATTCTTGCCTATTTGGGGTTTCTAGACTTTATGCTGAAGTAGCTGGTGCTGGCCCCTGCCTAAGACAGGAGAGAGATCTTGGTGCCATTCAGGAATGTAATTCCTGCACCCTCAGCTAGGGCATCCCATTAAGACATATATGTGATTGTGACTAAAAGCTCCTGAGGGTAAAAGCATCTGCCAAAAGCCCTGGAAATCTGTCTTGGTAGTTAATAACCAGATAATAAAAGAGTCCGCATTTTTTCATATTTTGTTTCAACACTATTGATTTCGGTCTCTGCTATGAGGTGTCTCTCACTTCGATGCTACATCTGTAAAATGTGCCTCTCTTTTTTTTTTTTTTTTTTTTTTCATTTTCCTCCATTCAAAGACTCTCTAACCCGCAACACTAAAACAAAATATCAGCAACTGAAGACACCACAGAAAGCAAAGTACCAAGAAGTATCGAAGTGTTGCATACCTGCATCATTTCTGCAATGATTTTGGTTATGCTCAGAAGCAGGATATTTGCATGCGTAGGTACCAATGCATGTCATTTTGCCTAAACACTTCAAACATCGGGGCTTTTGTGTGAGGTATGTAAAAATCAAGCTATGTTTTTCCTGCAGAAATACCCCGAAGTCTTGGGGAACTTTCACGTTAGTAGGACTGGATCCCAGCTGCACTCCTCTCCCCTCCAGCAACCACACCAGAAGTGTCACTGAACAGTTGAACTTTGGGTGCTACAGTCAAGAGCAAAGACTATAATTTTCTTTGCTCTGGAAGCAGACTAGTGTAAAAATTCCTACAAGACAACGTAGCTAAAGACCTGTAAATTAGCTTATGCTTGTATTCATGTGTGTTGAAGAAGAGTCTAATTGCATAGTTTTCTTTGCTTAAGTGCACTTTCATTCATGGCCAGTTTCATCAGGAAATGAAGAAAATATTATCTTGGGGGAAAAGAAAATCGGTTGAGCACTTCTATTTTGGATTAGTCCTGATAAGTATGAAGTTATTATTAGAGATCAGGCCATTTGCTGCTAACGTTGCGTAGCTGGTTTCTTGAAAGACTTATTTTTTCTAAATATGTAACTTAATTTGCACTTGGAGTGGAAGGAGAAATGTAGTTTAAACATCATTTCAGGGCTTGTTTTCAATTGAGAGGTAGTTATGTGGAAAAAAAAAATTATCTAACGTGGGACCGTTTGAAAGATGGATCAGGATACCTGATGTATTAACGTACCTCGGGACAGATTACGGTTCTGTCTGGTTTAAAATGTAATTTAAATGAATTAACTTCCACATCTTACAGCTGTGACATGCGCCTGTCTTGGACAGGAGCTTGATTTATATTATCTTTATGAAGATGTATCTGTGCGCATACTATTAACGCGCCATCAGTATGCATGTGTTACTTGATTCCAGGAGCCACGACCTGACAGGTGACTCTGTTACTGTCATTTAACTGCTGACATGACTTGTGCCACCAGCCGTGCTGTTAGCTGTTGTGATGTGACACGACCTGACTTGTAACACTTATGACGGGCCGTGCCTCCTGCTTCTGTCAGACATGGAGGATAAAGAAAGTCACATGTAATTCTTCCTGGTCTTGCTGCATCTGTGGGGAAGGGCATCTCCCGAGTCACGGCGTCCCCCCTGCCCAGTGCGGCTGCGGGGATGGGGATGTGATGTATTAAGGGGGTTGTTACCAGTCAAGAAAGTTGTACTGCTGTGAAGTTCCCTTAAAGAAGTCTGTCTGACTCCTCGGGATAACTAGAATTAGAAACATGAGTGTAAAAAACCTGACAAATTCACCTGAACTACCATTAAAAAAATGGAATTGCACAGTTGTTTCTTGTTCCTACCTGGTAGAGAGAAATGAAAGGAGTTTCTTGCTGTGAAGACTGATAGCGTGGGACCCCACTGTCCCTTGAAATGGGTTATTATTTGGCCAGGCTTTATGATTTGGTTAAATTTGCATTTGGGGAAAAAAGACTAGATTTGAATGAATAGTTATAATGGTAATCATGGCTACGAGACACTTTCTGCATGAATTTTTAATGTATACCCTTTTATCTTCCAATCTAATGTATTTTATTTTTATTTTTTCAATGTAAACATGTGGTAAAATGGTCACATGTGAAACTGTCTGAGAAAAGAATCCAGATATTTGCACTCGTTGGTAATTATGCTCATTTACTTTGATTACATGCTTTGTTACAATAGCGTGTAGAATGGACTCTAGGCAGATACATGGGTTAAAGCAATTTATGGGATTTATTCTATCTGTGAAGAGATGTTTTGATGGAATGAAAAATCAGATTCAATTTCCTCTGATAAGGAAGAATGTTAATTTTCTCCTCTGCTTTATGAAAGTTCACCTGCATGTTATGAATATTGTGCCTGTTACATGCCAATATGACATTTGGAAAAAAAACTCTTCAAGCATAATAACAGTGAAGAATCTTTCAGCGGTATGTGGATGAAGTGGAGCACCAAGCATTAATTTTGGAGATGACGAAGACAGCA